AAAACTTGTAATGTGAGTTTATACAAAAAAAAAATAATAATAATAAGAAGGCTCAAAGGGGCTCAACAATGGAAAGTTCAATTACAGGGTCAGCTATTTGGCTAATGAAGCTTGTTTATGTAACGAAAATGGCCTAAATCATGTTCGTACATGCTTGTGTCAATGTGATCTTGAAGAGAATCAAGGGAAGTTCTAAAGAGACAAAACCATAGAAGAATATCACACATGAAAAAAATAATTAGACTGTTATGGATGTATCAGTCTAAAGGCTCAAAAATCTCATCGACTTTTGTTCACAGAATTTAGTTACTACAATCCTAAAAAAAAATAACCAACTAATCAACTCTAAGTTGGAGGATTATTCATTCAATCATGTTATGAGTTTTTCAAAAGTCTAATTAATTCTAGCAAATAACATACACAACCCAAAACAATCATTTAACTCTCAATTCATTTTTATGAAAAATCATGCAAAAATTTGTGAAATTAAACTTACGCAAAATTTAAATGCAATAAACCTCAATTCAAAATTTTCACACGAAATTGAATAAAACGTAACTAATANTGTTATGAGGTCATCAAAAGCCTAATAAATTCTAGCAAATAGCATACACAACCCAAAACAATCATTTATCTCTCAATTCATTTTCATGAAAAATCATGCAAAATATTGTGAAATTAAACTCACTCAAAATTTAAATACAACAAATCTAAATATCTAAATCCTCTCCTCCACACTTAAAACTTACATTGTCCCCAATGTAAGCTGAAATGCAAGAAAAAAAATAAAGATAACTAAAATATGAATACGGAAAATAAAAATAAAAAGATAAAGGAACGAACTCCCTTTGGGTTGCCTCCCAATCAGCGCATTTGTTTATTGTCTTTAGCTCAACTCAGTGTTTTCTTATTTAGTCCGGATCTATCATGGTTGGCTTCGATCTTCATTGCGGTGCACCAAGTCCATTGAGAATGATAACTGACAGTGGTCCTCCACCTCCATGGAATGTATACTTGTAGTGACTGAGGTGGGGCTTCAAATCTGAAATGGAAGTCTACAAAACAGAAAGTAGAGGCCTTTCATTAGAAACTGGAAAAACAAAATAAGAACTGTTACCTGAATGCTGTAGCTTTGGAAAATAGTTCAATATTGCAACAGTTTCTTGTAACCTAGTATTCAAAGCCAGCTT